CTGTTCCAGACATTTCATATAAGTAGAATCACACAATATTTGCCCTTTTGTGTCTGGCTTATTTTACTTAGCATAGTGTTTTCAAGGTTTATCCATGAGGCAGCACAGAGCAGAACTTCATTCCTTTTTATAGCTGAATAAATTTTCGTTGCATGTATATATATTTTGTTCATCCATTCATATGTTGATGAACACCTGGGTTATTTCCACTTTTTGGCTATAGTAAATAATGCTGCAATGAACATTGACATATAATTATTTGTTCAAGTCCATGCTTTCAATTCCTTTGGGTATATGCCTAGGAGCAGAATTGCTGGGTCATATGGTAATTCTATGTTTAGCTTTTTGAGGACCACTACAATTTCCATACAGGCTGCAATATTTTACATTCTCACCAGCAATGTACCAGCCAGAGTTTTCATTTCTCCACATGTTCACCAACACTTGTTTCCTGGTGTGTGTGTGTGTATGTGTGTGTACGTGTGTATTTTAATTTCAGCCATTCTAGTGGGTGTAAAGTGGTACAGTGTATCATATTGTGGCTTTGATGTGCATTTCCCTACTGACTTTACCAAAGAAGATATACAGATAGAAAATAAATGTATGAAATACCTAGGAATACAGCTAACCAAGGAAAAGTAAGATCTCTACCAGGAGAACTACAAAACCCTGCTGAAAGGAATCAGAGACAACACAAATAAATGGAAAAACATTCCATGCTAATGGATTGGAAGAATCAGTATTGTAAAAATGGCCACACTGCCCAAAGCAATGTACAAGTTCAATGCTATTCTTATTAAGCTGCCAATGTCATTCTTCACAGAACTAGAAAAGTTATTCTAAAATTCATGTGGAAGCAAAAAAGAGTCCAACTAGCCAAGCAATCCTAAGCTAAAACAGCAAAGTTGGAAGCATCATACTGCCTGACTTCAAACAATACTATAAAGCTGCAGTAACCAAAACAGCATGGTACTGGTACAAAAACAGACTTGGAGACCAATGGAACAGAATAGAAAACTCAGAAATAAAGCCATACACGTATAACCATCTGATCATCAACAAGGCTGACAAAGACAAGTAATGGGGAAAGGGATCCCTATTCAATAAATGGTGCTGGTCTAACTGGCTAGCCATATGCAGAAGATTAAAACTGGACCTCTTCCTTTTACCATATATAAAAATTAACTTAGTGCATCAAAGATTTAAATATAAAACATCAAACTGTAAAAAAAATCCTAGAAGACAACGTAAGAAATACTCTTTTCAACTTCAACCTTGGTGAAGAACGTTTGACTAAGTCCTCAACTGCAGCAAAAACATACAAGAAGACATACAAGTGTCCAACAAACATGAAAAAATGCTCAACATCACTGATCATCAGAGAAATGTGAATTAAAACCACAATGAGATACCATCTCACACCAGTCAGCACGGCTATTATCAAAAAGTCAATAAACAACAGATACTGGAGAGGCTGATGAGAAAAGAGAATGCTTATACACTGTAAATGTAAATGTAGTGTAAATTAGTCCAGCCACTATGGAAAGCAGTCCGGAGATTTCTCAAACTTAAAACAGAGCTACCATTGGACCCAGCAATCCCATTACTGAGTATATTCCCAAAGGAAAATAAATCATTCTACCAAAAAGACACATGCACTTGTATGTTCATCTCTGTGCTATTCACAATAGCAAAAACATGGGATCAACTCAGGTGCCCCTCAATGATAGAGTGGATGAAGAAAATGTGGTACATATATACCATGGAATACTATGCAGCCTTAAAAAAGAGTGAAGTCCTGTTTTGCAGCAACATGAATGCAGTTGGAGGCCATAATTCTTAGTGAATTAATGCAGGAATAGAAAACCAAATGCCACATGTTCTCATTTACAAGTGGGAGCTAAATATTGAGCACACATGGACTTAAACATGGGAAGAATAGACAGTGCAGATTACTAGATGGGGAAGAAAGGAGGATACTGGAGGTTGAAAACCTACATATCAGGTACTATACACACTACCTGGGTGATAGGATCTCTACCCTAAACCTCAGCATCATGCAATATTCCTGTGTAACAAACCTGTACATGTACCCCTGTATCTAAAATAAAGACTGAAATTTAAGGGAAAAAAAGAAAAGATACTCAGCATTATATGTCAATAGAGGATTGCCAATTAAAGCAATAATGACATATCACTGTACACCTATTAGAACAACTAAAATCCAAAAAACTGACAATATCAGTTGCTGGAGAGGATGTAGAGCAACAGAAACTCTCATTCACTTCTAGCAGGAATGCAAAATGGTACAGCCAGTTTAGAAAAGTTTGGCAGTTTCTTACAAAGCTAAGCATAGTTTTACCATATGATCCAGCAGTTGCACTCCAACATATTTATCAAACTGATTTAAAAACGTATGTTCACATAAAAACCTGCACAGGAATATTTACAGCAACTTTATTTATAATCACCAAAAGCTGGAAGCAACCAAGCTTTCTTCAATAAGTGGAGAAACAAACTATGGTACAAATGTACAGTGGAATGTTATTCAATGATAATAAATGAGTTATCAGGAGATGAAAATACATGGATGAACTCTAGGTGCATATTTTTAAGTAAAAGAAGCCAGTCTGAAAAAGTTACATACTTTATGGTTCCAATTGTATGACATTCTGGAAAAGATGAAACTGTAGAGTCAGTAAAGAAGGTCAGTGGTCACCAGAGGTTTGGGGGAGGAAAGAGAGATGAACAAGTAAAGCCCATGGAATTTTTAAAGCAGTGAAACTATTTTGTATGATACTGTAGTGGTGGATGCATGACATGCATTTGTCCAAACCCATAGAACTTTACAGCATAAAGAATGAACCTTAATGTGTCCAGATTTTTTAAAAATTATTTAATAGGTTGGGGGATTCCAGAAAGGATGCAGACTATGATAGGAGAATCTAATTGTATTACAGATGTATGTAACAATCTCAGTGAAGAGAGTAGAGGGAAAAAGTTTTGACTTAAGTAACTTTGGAAATGAGTGGAGTCTGTTAGAATAAAGGCAAGGAGAACTGCACATAACCACTGTACTCTATAAAGTTGTTTCCCACAGTGGTTCAGGTTAACAATTTTGACACTGCTATACGGGTATACTGAAAATAAGCAATTAAGTACATAAATGGGAGATGGTCAAAGCCAAACTTTTTATTGTTGGAGTGGGAATTCACAGTTTAGCAAGGTGATGGGGTTAAAATGATCCATGTGGTAATGAATTCACATTGGAGACATTAGTATGAACTTATGTTCAGCTTAATACAGGTTCAGATGGTTAAATATAGAAAACTTCATAGATATGTGGTTATACTCCAGTTTTAATATACACATGTATATTTCCTTGCTCTGTTAACTGACAGGGACTAGAAATAAGCAAGGGACACAAGTAGTAAATAGTGCCCAAATCTTGCCTTCTAATAACCATGCTCCGAAAAAGGAATTGGGGATCCTTGGAGAAATGGTTTAGTCTAGGACCACGGCTGGCAATGTACAAGAGGAACCTGGAGCATCTTGTAGTGCCAGAAAGTAAGGAATTTCAGAACAAAAACAAAAAAAAACAACAAACCCACTACTGTTACATTATGAGTAGTATGTCAAAGAAATGCAAGAGCCAACCGAAAACACTCCCAATGGCCAAGACTAGGAGTAACTTTAGAGTGGAGAAACCTGACAAGCATGACTTTTGGCCACTCATCGAGGTCCATATCAACAGTGATAATCACATTTATTATATGTACCCATGGTCTGATGTGATGAAAATGGCACTCTACTTCTGTGATCTTCCTTCCAAAAACCCATGACCACAATCCAACCATGAGAAAAACATCAGACAAGTTCCAGTAGAGGAGTATGTGCAAAATACCTAACCAGGGCTTCTCCAAACTGTCAAGGTTGTCAAAAACAAGGGACATCTGGGAAACTGTCAAAGCCAAGAGGAGCCTAAAGAGACATGATGACTAAACTTAATATAGGATCCTGGATGGGGTCCCGGAATTACATATATGTATATATGTATAACACACACACACATATTTTTACATATATATATACACACACACACATATATTTATATATATCTGTATATGTATTAGATAAAAACTTTAAAAAATCTGAATAAACTGAAGGCTTTAGTTAATAATAATGGATCATTACTGGTTCATTGACTCTAATGAAAGTATAATACTAATGTCAAATGTTAATAATCAGGGACACTGGTTGAGGGGGTATATGGGAACTCTGTACTGTCTTCTCAGGTTTTCTGTAAATACTGTTTGTATTAGTCCGTTTTTACACTGCTATAAAGATACTACCTGAGACTGGGTAATTTACAAACAAAAGAGGCTTAATTGACTCCAAGTTCCACATGGCTGAGGAGGCCTCATGAAACTTACAATCATGGTAGAAAGTGAAGGGGAAGCAGGCACATCTTACATGGCGGCAGGAGAGAGAGAAAAGGGGGAAGCACCAGACACTTATCAAACAACCAGATCTCATTAGAACTCACTCACTACCACAAGAATAGCATGGGGAAAACAGCCCCTGTGATCCAATCACCTCCCATCAGGTCCCTCCCTCAACACATGGGGACTATGAATTTGGATTACAATTCAAAATGAGATTTGGGTGGGGACACAGAGACAAACCATATCACTGTTCTAAAAAATAAAATAAAACATATGTATATAAAAACAAAACAACAACAACAAAAAAAAAAAAACAGAAAAACCCTGATGATACAGTTTTCGCATTTTTTCCAATGAGGAAGCTGAAGTTCAGAAGTGTCAAAGTAACTGGCACAAGATGACCCTCCTACTTAAACAGCAGAGGTGGGATTTGAGTTGAGGGATCTTTCTACTGAGTCACACTGACTTTTACCTGTCTGTAGGTGGGACCCCTTCTGTTTCTTTGTTTCCTGTGTATGCACTTATGTGTGGGTGTTTTTTTCTTGTTCTTGCCAGGGGATGGCCTTTACCCTTGAAGAAAGACTGCAGCTTGGAATCCACGGCTTAATCCCACCCTGCTTTCTGAGTCAGGATGTCCAGCTCCTCCGAATCATGAGATATTATGAGCGGCAGCAGAGTGACCTGGACAAGTCAGTACCTAGCGTCTGTTCTCTCTGCTTGGTCCTTGGGCTGAGCTGTCTGTTTCCTATGCTTCACAGAGGGTTTTCTGGAAACTCTCCAGCTAAAAAAGGCTGAGAGCCCAAAGAGATCCCAGACTCAGCCCTACCTTCTAAAGGATTCATAGTCTCCCTGAGAGACAAGGCTTGTTATGACTGAGCCACAGCCAACATGTCCTGGAGGAACTGGAAAGGGAAACTGCATTCCAACCAGTGGAATCTGAAGGGCCTCTGGGAAGTGGTAGAAGCTGAGTCAGCATAAGAAGCACTGATAAGACTTCAGCAGACAGCAGTGGGGTTCAGGGAGAATGTTTCACTGAGAGGGACGAAATGGAGCAAAGACGTAGAGACAGGCATGTTAAGGAAGTGGTACATAGCTTGGGTTCCTGGAATTAGGAGGACGTGGTGGGGGAGAGGGAAATGGACAGGGGACGCCTTAGGATAGACCTAGATGTCATTTGTTGGAGGCTATGGGCAACAGTTAATAACCCTGTCTCCTCTCTGAGTTCTCCTCCAATAGAGATCCAGACATAAAGAGCCAATGGGGAATCATGGGGTCAACTTTATCAGCTTTACTAAACAAGGGAGTCACTTCCCAGGTCGCATGGCTATAAATGGGCACAGCTGGAATTTGAACACAGAGACCTGGCTCCAGAGTCTATGCTTTTCATTTCTCTGGTATGCCACAGCTAAGATGCAGCAGAGACCAGTGGCTACAAGACTAGACTCTAGTACTAGACCGAGTTCAAATCCATATTCTACCCCTTAATAGCAAAAGTTACTTAGCAAAAGTTACTTAGCCTCTATGGGTCTTTTCCCATTAGTACAATGAGTACCATAGGGAAAACTCATAGGGTTGTTACGAGGATTAAATGCCTTAGTATTTGTGTTGTGCTTAGAACAGTGCCTGGCACATAGTAGGCAGTATGTCAGTGTTTGTCAAGTAAATATGTCACCTTGTTATTGGCTCTAGCAGAAGTGTAGGAAGAAGATAAGGAATCCCCCTCTTAGAACAAACAAACTCTAGAACTTGGCCAGTTCAATCTATAGAACAAACTGGCCAAGACTTTGGGTCCTTGAGGGTGTGGCTGTCCCCCTAGGGGCAGAGCTCAGCAGCATGCCAGGGTCACCCTGCACTCATATTCCTCTGTTTCCCTCATACCATCCATTGCTTCTGAGTGGTGATGAGCACAGAAGCCTCTGTTCATACCTCCACCCCTACTCCCAAAGCTCTAAACTCAAAGGGTGTTAGTCACATTAACTCCAAGGCCATACTGTAGTCAGGCCAAATATCCTCTCCCTCTTTTTTATCTAACTCTAATTGGGTCTAGCTAAGTCACTCTGAAGAGCAAGCCAGAAATGACACAATGAATTCAACTAACAGGATGAGACACGCCCTAAATTTGAATAATCTGAACCTTCTCCTTTTGTTATATTTATAAAGAAAAAATCAAGTCCAAAGTGAAATCCGCTTCCTACAGATATTAAGCTCTAAACGTTAAATTAAAAAATCCTTCCCTCCCAGTTATTTCCAGCTAGATGGGCCTCACTCATAGATCTGGGGAAACATTCCAGGCTCAGGGACAGAAGAGTGTGCCCATTCCTGGGAGTTCTAGAGGCTCATCCCTGATGCTGCTTGACCACCTTGACCCGCTTATTTCCAGGAGTCCCTCATTTTACAGGGTGCTTGGGGACATGCTAAGAAAACTCCTCATGTTCTTTCGAGTAAGGGCAGTGGTGTGCTGGTAAATCTTTAATAACTGGTTCTCTGTGTGGGGTGAGGAATGGGGTAGGAAATTACGGCATCCGCCAGATTCCATAGTGTAAATACTTGTATGATGGCTAGTTTCAGCTTACCAGTTTGACATAACTGAAGGTAGAACTGAGAAAAGATGTGCACAAATGGCTATTGGGTAAGAGAATCCCACACTGGCAATGGGCTGAGATCCTGGCTCTTCCTGAGTATCAGTCCTCTCTTGCTAGAAACACCTTCCAGAGCACAGTTTTTAGTTTTCCACCAAAGGACCAATTCCTTTGGTAGAGAGGAGAAGGCTGAGACCCAAGAGGTCACACAAGACTTTCCCAAGTTCACACAGCTAATAAATGGCAGCGCTGGGATTCAAACCCAGGATCCTGATGTCATGCCCAGTGATCATTTCACCAGACCACAGATGTTTTCCCCCTGTTAGAGCATTTCTCCCATCCCTCCTGATGCCAGAGCATCAAGTACCTTGGTACTCTCCCCAAGATTATTATCCAGAAAGGTTGTGATATTAGCAGTCACACTTAATTGTGAATTTCAACCCCTAGGTTTTCTCTCACAGAGGTTTTTGCATTCTTAGGAGTCTGAATGGAAGGCTCTTTTCCTGGCTTAGTGATTTCAGGTTTCAGGGATCAGGTAAAAGAGAGATTATTTTTACAAATCACAATTTGTAACAGGAACCAGCCCAGTGTGGTAGGAGAGGCCAGTCCATAGAGTGCTTACATGCCCAGGATTTTCCTTTACCCTACCCCACCCCCAGAATGTTACTATGCTATTGTTATTTCATTAATGTTCATAAGCATCTTGAACAATGGTTGAGAGCACAGATTCCAGAGTCAGACTGCTTAGATTCAAATTCCCACCCTGCCATGGACCTGGGGTGAGTCAGTTTCTCTCTACATTAGTCTCCTTGCCTCTAAAATAGCAAGAATTATAATCCCTACTTCACAAGCCATCGGAGGTTTTAAAGGAGTTATTGTAAAATATTTAGAACCGTACCTTCACCATGTATAATAATAAGCACCACAAGCAGGTCATCTTCACATTTCGTAGCTGTTGAAGCTCGTACTCAGGGCAGATGGCTTGCCCATGAAGGTGCCCTTGTAGCTGGGCAGGAGCGGGAGCTCTGGGTCTTTGCACCACACCACAGAGGCACCAGGGCCTGCTGCTACCCCATGTCAGCTTGCTTTTTCTCTCCCTTTCCAAGGTACATAATTCTCATGACACTCCAAGACCGGAACGAGAAGCTCTTCTACCGAGTGCTGACTTCAGATGTGGAGAAGTTCATGCCTATCGTGTACACACCTACCGTGGGGCTGGCCTGTCAGCACTATGGCCTCACCTTCCGCAGGCCCCGGTGAGCCCCCGTGGAGTGAGGGCTCCGGGAGGGGCTGCCTCATAGAGGGGAATAAATTCTTTCCACCGTTCATGCATGTATTGGGACCCTGGAGGCTAACTCCTGAATGGGTCAGTGGTCCAACAAAAAGACATTTGATTTGAAGCATTTGCTCAGGAAAATGACCCCGTAAGCAGATAAATGAGCGGAAAGAGTAGCTAGCAAGGGGATATCGAATCTTCTTCACTTCCAAATAATAAATGCCCAGCATGCTCAGAGTTGACCTGAGAGAGTTCAGGTTGTATTTCTCTCATTATCAACCTGTCACTTCTCTCGCCCTCTCTGGTCATCTCCAAAGTACCAACAGCTCTCCTGCCAATTCAGGCCAATGAATAATAGAACGTTGGATACCAAAGACTGAATTTTTTTGCTGTCTCGAAAAACCAGCATATCTTCCTTCAGGCTTGACTCAGATTCTACTTTAAATGTCATTTTATTAGACAAAATTTTGGCACTCCGTTTTCTTTCAAAGCCAAAGAATTTTGAGCAGTTTTCTAAAGCAATCAGTTTTTTTTTTTTCATAATGACTTCAGAATATATGTTTAAAAAAAAGAAAAAATGGTAGGGTCCTCAGGGGAAGTTGCCTTATAATCATAAATACATAGTTCTAGCACTAATGTTAAAAGAGCTACCTGGTTTATTATATGTAATGGAACATTGTTCTAGTCTACGTTCAAATATGTAACATACTGTGCACAGATGTGTAATTTACATTTATGTAGAATTTATAAGTCAGTGTTTGTAAATCACACATTATATGGGGAACATGTAATCATGAATTCAAAACGGCTTTAATTTAGAAAAACAATCTTCTAGTTTTGTAGCCAGCATTTGGGTTAAATATTGCAAGATGGTTACAGTGTGTTCCCAATGCCAGTCCTGTTTCTTTCTGGGTCCCACTGTTACCATTGGCAAAGGACAGCACATCAAACCCCATCCTGATGGTGGTGCGTCTGGCTGTTGCAGCAGACACGTCCTCATCACTCAGAACAGCTAAGCTTTTGCAAACCTATAGAGGCCCACTATGCCAGGGCCCCATAGCAGTTCTGGTCTTCAACATGCTTCTTTCAACAGGAAAGAGACTCCTATTCTCTTATTCCCATTCCCGAAACCAATAGTGGCAGAGACATTAGGAGCTGATGGTACATTTCTGAAGGATGCAGGACTGTATGTACTTCCCTGTTCCTATGCAGAAATGATCCTTTCTGCACAGATCAGCTCATGGCATTTCATCTGAGGCATTTAGCAGCTCCCTAGGGCTTAAAGAATCAAGACCAACACTTTGATAGATCTAAGCCTGTCACAGCCCAGCTCCAAAATTCAATGTCCTAGCTACTCTGATCTGTTCTCCATGCCCAAGTACACCGATGTTCTTCTCCATGCCTATGCACATATGGTCCTGTCTGCCTCAAACTCCTGCATCTCCCCTTTCCTTGGTCTCCACTCATCATAATTCAGGTTATCCTTCAAGGCCCACCCCAAGGGTCAACTTCTCCATGGAGCCCTCTCCATCCCCTCAGGCTGAACTGATCACCCCTTTTTTGGCCTCCTCAAAATCCATTACACATACTTCTTCTATCCTACAGTTTTCTTTTTTGTTTTTCATGTTTTTAGTTATTGTTTGTATATAACTCTCTTCTACTAGAATACAAACTTCTTGAAAGGGCAAGAAACATGATGGATCAGTTGTGTATTCTAGACCAATACTTGGCAAGTAATTGTCACTTAGTTGGGAAAGTAATGCTGTGTACTCACTGTGAAGAATTGGTTCTTTGCAGTCCGCCCCGAATTTTAATCTCCTTGACCCTGGGTGATTTTCTTATCTTCTCTCTGCCTTAATTTCCACATTTATAAAATCGAGGTAACAATACTACCTACTTCAATCATTATGAGGGTAAAATGAGAAGTGTGGATCAGGTACCTGGCAGAAAATTGGAACCAGATAAATGTCAGTGTCTATTTCTCTTCAGTAACTATTGTAGAAAGGAGAAAGGATTAATAGATGTAGAGTCATATTATACATTGCATGTTTAAATATTTACCAAGAAAGTAGAATCATTGAACATGTAACAAACTAAGACTTTTAACTTCAGAAGGAAACCGAACCCAAGATTATGCAAACATACACAATTTTGCTTTTCCAGAACCAGCTTTTTCCTGAAGAGGACCTTTATCCCCCTAAGGCAAGATTAACCATCTCCCCTGACTAAGATCTTATGGAAATTCAAGTGTATCCCACTCTGGCCCCTATTGCCAGGATGTGTGGAAGCCCTCACTCCATAAGCTCCTATGGAAACTAGATTGTAGTGGCTTCATTTGGTTCCAGATAAACTAGTATCAGGGTCAGGACCTTGCATATGCAACAGGCTTGTGAAAGTAGAATTTGCCTCCAGAGCCCACTCCAGAATCCAGGGAAACCACCAGGACTGAATTTACATATCTTAACTCATTTAATTATTACAACCTCCCTAGGAGGTAGGCCCTATTTTTATCTCAATTGCAGATGGGAAAACTGAGGCACAGGGAAATAACTTACCCAAAGTCACATATAGTTTATAACCAGCAAAGCCAGGGCCCAACCCAATCTGAACCAAAGTGTAGACAGGCAACCACCACACTACACTGACTCTTATAGTTTAGGACTGTGCACAGCTGGTGGGCATTCTGGGTGGGATGTCGTTGCAGCTCCAGGAATGTTTGACTGCCCAGGGGTCTCAGGTGGGGATTGCTAGATACCATTTCTAGAGCTCTCCTGGGAGGAATTGATCCAGCAAGGTCCCAGGGCCTGCAGCTGGGTGAGCTTGAGGCAGGCTTGGGCAGACTTAACCGTCTTCTTGAATTAGTCCCTCACACTCTTGGTTCAGACTTCCCGAATATGTTGTGCACAAACCCTTCTTCAGATGATTACCCAATTAAGTTATTTGACATGTGACATTCTGAGTTGTTGCTCTAGGTTTCCATCTGGCTGCTTTCCAGGTGTGGATTCCACACCTGCCTTGTTCCTGAGAGAAATAAAAGTCTGGGCTCCGCCCAAGCCCTGAACTTCATCTGAGACCTGGCTTGGACTTACTTTGTGGATTAGCATCTGAAGGGAGGACAGTCCCGAGGCTGAGAGGGAGAGAGCCAGCGCCTTCTCAGTTTCTGAAATGATAAACACTCCTGCCAGGTTCCCAAGAACAATGAAGTCCTCTGTAAAAGTGTCTGGCCCCCCACCAAAGCTAATTACATCCAGCTGATGGTAAAATGGAGCCATCAACCTGCCTGGGGCTCTGCATCACCTCACAACCAGGGAAAGAGTATCTCAGGGGCACCTGAGCGTCCCTGGGCAGATAGGCACCACAGAAGGTTCTGGGCTCCGGTGGAGCCTCCTCTGCCTCATCCTGCCTCTCACCTGACACATTCTCTGCATGCGCCTCCATGAGCCTGGCTTAGGGGAATGCCCCCTGAAGGTCAGTCACTAGTGTGTGAGCTGGAAGAGGTGAAAGCCAGAGGTGAGGCTGGGTGGAGGCTGAGATAGAACTCAACCCAGAGGAAGAGGATGGGGAGGAAGCCAATATGGGGTCCAGTGTCAGTGAATACTCTCCCTTTCCCAGGCCACATCACTCTTGACCAGCCCTGTCTTCACACGCCTTATCCTCTTGGGCTCCAAGCAATGTGCTGCACCCGCCTGTAAACCTAACATTTCCTGGCTTTGGTATAGGTCTAACCTGTATGGATGATGGAGATCTGAAAGAAAACATTATGACACTTGTTAAAGATGGTAAGGCAGACTTTATTCAGGAGCTGGAGAGCAGGGGACTACGATAGACATATAACTATGGCAGAGGAGTCTTGCAGTGAGGGAGAGAGATTGGGCTCAACTCTGACTCCAATAAGGACAAATGGGGATTTATAACCCAGGAACAGCATGGGGGGCAGTGCTTGGAAAATTACTAGGAGGAAACATCAAGAATAGGGGGTTTCCGGTTAAATTGATAGGATGGGATTATTGCTGAAGGCAGGCCAGAGTCCTGAGATAACAAGGGTGGTGAGTTACCAAAGGTAGGTGGAAGATTTTAGCCAAAACGACTTAGCAGGATTCTTGCTCAAACTGGATTCTATAAGGACAGGGAGGGAAGCCCAATGTCTGACCTAGTCAAAGGAGACTCAGGAGCCCAACTAAAGTTTTGGTCGAAGGAGAGTCTTTGTCAGAGGGCTGGGTTGTAGGTAGTAGAAGCAGCACAGACTTTGAAGCCAGGCAGTCTTGGCCTTGAATCTCAGCTCCTGATGACTTTTGGCAATTAATTTAGCACCTCCTCAGCCTCCTCATATGTAAAATGGAAATAACACCTATTCACATGTCTGCTTGGGAAGATTCAGTGAGATTCCAAATGTAAAGGGCCTGGCGCTAGTAAGAGCTCAGCAGCTGTGATCTGCTTGATCCAGGACCCCCAGGAGTTGTCATCTACTCAGTCACCCCACCGAAGAATACACACTGTAAACCTGCTGAGGCCACCCCAGTCCTCTGAAGTACTGCCACACTCTGTTGTTTGATTCAGACCTGAAATCATCTGTACTTGCACTTAACTAGCAAATCATTAGTAAGTATGTGTGAGGAATTAGAGATCGGGCTGTGATGAGTCAGAAAGGTGAGGCTGGGAAGTGGGACTTGGTTTTATATAGTCAGAGGCTCTGTGGAAAGTACCTGAAGATGTATTTGGACAAAGCCAGCAACCCTTGGCCCTGAGCCAAGCTGCTGTCTTTCTTATCTGCAAACAGGTGGTCTTCTGCACACCAGCCAATAACATATATACAGGATATTAATAGTTACCATTTATTGAATGCATGTACTTCTCATGGGAGGGACGTGGTCTAGCTATTTTGTGTGCATTATTATTGAGCCCTACAACAACCCCTCGAGGTGCTTATTATTTCACTGAGATGAAAATGAAAGCTAACTTATCTAAGACAATCACAGCTGA